TAAAACGGCGTGAATCTATTGTCTGCCGTTGCTGTGACGAGGGGGGAGGGGCCTGATGACATGTACCCAGAATCGCCCGCGACACTGTTTTGCATCATCCGGGCATTGGGATCTCAACCCAGAATTCAAAGAAAAGGCGCGAAAGTAGTATCTGATGGACTAGGGGAAGGAGGGAGGGCGGGCCGAGTGACGACATGGCATACAGGTAAAGGGAATTAAAATCAAGAACGGTGGCTGTGCATCAGGGAGAAACACAAACAACTGTCACACAGAATGGTCCCCCCAAAGATTAAACTGAAAACCCTGGGTTTAGCAGGCCATTGATTTGACGGAGGGAGGGGGGAGCAAATGAATACAGAGCAAATCTATTTTTTACATCTTAAGACGACGGTGCAGCGTGACTGATAGCCCTTGGCATCTTTCTGGGTGCTTGGCAGCAAATACTGGGCACTTGGCAGTTAGTGTATGACGATGGTCTTCAGGCCTATTGCACGATCTGCTGCTCGGGGAAGACTCTGCTAATGTGCGATGACCCAACTTGTAACAGGACGGTTAACAGTCGTAATACACCATCTACTGCCAAAAGGCAAGGGGCTGGTGCAATGCAGCCCCACGGCTGCCAGCACCCAGATCGCCGATGAAGGCTACCAGTCTACTGCACTGTCTACCGCCAAAAGGCAGTTAGCAGCTGCTGCTGTGTAGCAATGCAGTCCCACGTCTGCCGGCACCCAGAGGACATATGGTGACGGTGAGCTGAGCGGGCTCCATGCTTGCCGTGGTATGTTGTCTGCACAGGTAACCCAGGTAAAAAGGCGCGAATCTATTGTCTGCCGTTGCTCTGACGGAGCCTGACGACGGGGCCTGACGACATGTACCCAGAACCTCCCGCGACACTGTTTTGCATCATCCGGGCATTGGGATCTCAACCCAGAATTCCAAGGGGCGGCGGAGGGTCAGGGAAGAGTGATTCTGCAGATCGAAAGGCTAAGACGGCTTAGTGCTCCAGACGCAAAAG